GTCCCAATCTAAGTCTCACAATTTGGATCTGCCTATAGAACTCCCCTTGACTGAGATATATCAAACTCCTACTACAGATGGATGTCCCAATGTAAGTCTCACAGTGTGGATCTGCCTATAGACCTCCCCTAGACTGACATATATCAAACACCTACTACAGAGGGATGTGCCAATATAAGTCTCACAATGTGTATCTGCCTATAGAACTCCCCTAGGCTGAAATATATCAAACACCTACTACAGATGCATGTCCCAATCTAAGTCTCACAATTTGGATCTGCCTATAGAACTCCCCCAGACTGACATATATCAAACACCTACTACAGATGCATGTCCCAATCTAAGTCTCACAAGGTGGATCTGCCTATAGAACTCCCATAGGCTGACATATATCAAACACCTACTACAGATGGATATCCCAATCTAAGTCTCCCCATGTGGATCTGCCTATAGAACTCGCCTAGACTGAGATATATCAAACACCTACTACAGATGGATTTCCCAATCTAAGTCTCACAGTTTGTATCTTCCTATAGAACTCCCCTAGACTGAGATATATCAAACACTTACTTCAGATGGATGTCCCAATCTAAGTCCCACAGTGTGGATCTGCCTATAGACCTCCCCTAGACTGACATATATCATACACCTTCTACAGATGGATGTCCCAATCTAAGGCTCACAATGTGTATCTGCCTATAGAACTCCCCTAGGCTGAAATATATCAAACACCTACTACAGATGGACGTCCCAATCTAAGTCTCACAGTGGGGATCTGCCTATAGAACTCCCCTATACTGACATATATCAAACACCTACTACAGATGCATGTCCCAATCTAAGTCTCACAAGGTGGATCTGCCTATAGAACTCCCATAGGCTGACATATATCAAACACCTACTACAGATGGAGGTCCGAATCTAAGTCTCACAATGTGGATCTGCGTATAGAACTCCCCTAGACTGACATATATCATACACCTTCTACAGATGGATGTCCCAATCTAAGGCTCACAATGTGTATCTGCCTATAGAACTCCCCTAGACTGGGATATAGCAAACACCTACTACAGATGGATGTTCCAATCTAAGTCTCACAATGTGGATCTGCCTATAGAACACCCCTACACTGACATATATCAAACACCTACTACAGAGGGATGTCCCAATCTAAGTCTCACCATGTGGATCTGCCTATAGAGCTCCCCTAGACTGACATATATCATACACCTTCTACAGATGGATGTCCCAATGTAAGTCTCACAGTGTGGATCTGCCTATAGACCTCCCCTAGACTGACATATATCAATCACCTACTACAGATGGATGTCCCAAACTAACACTCACAATGTGGATCTGCCTATAGAACACCCCTACACTGACATATATCAAACACCTACTACAGATGCATGTCCCAATCTAAGTCTCACAATTTGGATCTGCCTATAGAACTCCCCTAGGCTGACATACATCAAACACCTACTACAGATGGAAGTCCGAATCTAAGTCTCACAATGTGGATCTGCCTATAGAACTCCCATAGGCTGACATATATCAAACACCTACTACAGATGGAAGTCCGAATCTAAGTCTCACAATGTGGATCTGCCTATAGAACTCCCCTAGGCTGACATATATCAAACACCTACTACAGATGGATCTCCCAATCTAATTCTCACAATGTGGATCTGCCTATAGAACTCCCCTTGACTGAGATATATCAAACTCCTACTACAGATGGATGTCCCAATCGAAGTCTCACAGTGTGGATCTGCCTATAGAACTCCCCTAGACTGAGATATATCAAACCCCTACTACAGATGGATGTCCCAATCTAAGACTCACAATGTGGATCTGCCTATAGAACTCCCCTAGACTGAGATATATCAAACACCTACTAAAGATGGATGTCCCAATCTAAGTCTCACAGTGTGGATCTGCCTATAGAACTCCCCTAGACTGAGATATATCGGGGTATTGATCTATAACAGATGACACATTAGTATCGTCAATGTAATGTTTCCATAAGGATATACTCTACAAACATATGGCTCTCTCCCACTACTTTGATTTGTTTAGGGAACTCTCATCCATGAAACTAGAAACTAGTCTGAATTTTTAAATCTGACTCTATGTTGTGAGTCAGAGCTGGTACGTCATGACGCGAGTGCTTTCAATATAATTTTGTGCGTTATGGTGGACCTATTGGGTCATTTTATAGCATTCACACATCTTTAGGCAGTAGAAGAATCAATTATTGTTTGATACATTGCTTGTAACCCAAAACCAAAAAATCCTGCAATTTGTGTCTTTTGCTCATCAAAGCTAGCTGTCTTTTTTGATGTCTGGATCTTGAAGGTATTGCTATGATATTGTGTCAGTTCAGCCAAAACTATCATTTAGTCCAGTAGTTATTACGAAGTATTTAGCCCCTAGTTAACAAATTTTGGTCATTTGTCACAGCTGTGGAATTACTTTTCTTTAACTCTAATACATCAGAGTTCACATATAAGTACAAAAAGAATTGTCTGGTGCTTTCATGATGAAATATCATATCACATCAAACTATTTCAATAGAAATTTAGACCTAGATTAATTATTTAACTAAAGGAGATAATCAAAATTTAAAGAGAAAATGAATTTTAAATTTCAAAATAAGTAAAAACTGTTCCTAGATTTAGAGAAAAATTAGGAAAAAGTTTGGGTCTCATTATCCCATATAACAAATATCCCATATAACAAATATTTCATAACTCCCTCATACAACTTATAACACAAAACACATTAGATATTAAACAAAAAGTACACTATATAAATATAAACAGCATGAGTTATAGTGTCCAAATATTATGAATGATATCAAATCACCAAACCTAAAACAAAAAAGATATGCTGAGGAAAATAAAAATGAAATTAGTCTTTGAATAAATCTATAAAGATTATACAAACCATAATCTCCTACAAGGAATTGTCTGTCGTACTGTCCAGCAGCCATGTCCTTCACATTCTACTGATCCCTCTTTACCTACTCAACAGACCTACAGCTGACCAATGCCTCTAGCCACACAGTGCCTGTGTCGTATTGTCCAGCAGCAGTGGCCTTCACATTCTACTGATCCCGCCCTACCTACTCAACAGACCAACAGCTGACCAACACCTCTAGCCACACAGTGCCTGTGTCCTATTGTCCAGCAGCAGTGGCCTTCACATTCTACTGACCCTGCCCTACCTACTCAACAGACCAACAGCTGAACAACTAGCCACATTTGTAAACTTCTGTCCAATATATCTCCAGTTATTTCTCATATGTGTTGATTTAATATAGCATTACTGAAATTTGTAACTCTATCACCAGGAACCGCTATACATCACTTCCTGTCACTAGGAACCGCTACATATCACTTCCTGTTATACAAGTTATGGCTACACATCACTTCCTGTTATACAAATTACTGCTACATATCACTTCCTGTGTCACTGGTGACCACAACACATCACTTCCTGTGTCACTGGTGACCATAACATATCACTTCCTGTGTCACTGGTGACCACAACACATCACTTCCTGTGTCACTGGTGACCACAACACATCACTTCCTGGGTGACTGGTGACCACAACACATCACTTCCTGTGTCACTGGTGACCACAACACATCACTTCCTGTGTCACTGGTGACCACAACACATCATTTCCTGTGTCACTGGTGACCACAACACATCACTTCCTGTGTCACAGGTGAACACTACACAACTCTTACTGTATCACTATAGTATACACTAAATACACTTTCCTGAACCACTAGTATACACTACATAGGAATTCCTGTACAAGTGGTTTACATCACATACAACTTTTCTGTATCACTAGTATACATAACACATCATTTCCTTTATCACTAGTATACACTTTATATATGTTTGTGAAGTTTCATGAATATCTGTTGAGAGAGCCTTTTTCTGTAAAATTCTTTTTTTTTAGAAAATAGGTCAATGTCATTTCTTTTGCACAGTTTGTGACACTCGATACGAGCAAGCCAATGATTAAATAAAGTAACACGTCTTTTGGCCTATCAATACTTTTAAGCATTTTCAAGTTTGAACCCTGTGACCTATCAAGGCTACAGGTCAAGGTTTTCTGTTTGCAATCTTTGTAGCACTTCATGCCAGAAACTACAGGCCAACTTTTATGACTTAACAAATTTGATCACAGTGACTTTGAATATGGGTCAAGGTCATTTTTATCCCCAAAGTTTGTATCATTACTTTAGTTCTTTTGGTTCTTCTATGGATTTCATTTGAATGTCTAAATAGATTTGACTTTTATGACCTTCAATATAGGTCAAGGTCATATATTGCAGCAAACATTGAAGCGGTCAATGCCAGCCTCTTTGTTTTATGTGAATGTTTTCAGATGTAAATATTGTACAATGTGATTTTTTCTTTCGCAAACTTTGTTAACATCACTAAGGGTGTTACATGATAAATATCAAAACACAGAATGTTGGTTTGTTAATAGAAGATATTTTTTTGGTATCAAATTTTAACTCCCCTTTTGGGCCCCTAAAATGAGCAAACCGCTTTTCCATTGCAAATCTGGAACTCAATCACCTAGGAATACTCCATAGCAAATTTTGTTGAAATTGATCCAATGGTTTTCATGAAGAAACTGTTTAAAGAAAAATATTACAAACGATGGAAGACTGCTAACGGATGACAATGGATTGACATTACCCACTTAGCCTTTTCGTCTAGGTGAGTGGTATGGAAAGTGTTTCACCTTCTCAAAAGGATAAGTGTACTAAAATAACTTCAATCCTATAACACTAGTGCACAACACACTATTACCTAATCTTCCGGGTAGTATTATCACTAAACACTACTTCCTGTATCTATAGTTACAACTGGTACTTTCTGTACCAGTAGGTCTCGACCATTCCTCTTAACATTTAGTTCATCAACACTGATGTTAAGTACTTTGAACATGCCACCTGTACAGCTACCTGTTAATCCTTTGTGTGCTGCCACCAAGCCTCTCAACATTCCTCAACGCCAGCACGGCCACTTGTTAATCCCACCACTACAACCAACATTTAAATCCTAATTCTTGTTGTAATTCCCGGAATGTCACCAATATTCCTCTTCTTCCTGTTAGTCCCAGCACACTCACTATCACCAGAATACTACCTGTGACTGCTCCTCCACCACACTATATCACAGGACTTCTCCCTCCACCTATAGCCCGTCAGCTGTATCATAATAGTGATACAGTAGAGATTCAGTCACATGTCATCTACCCAGTGACAATACTGGAGCAGGGACAGCCAGTTGCAGGTGCAGACAGCCAAAATACACAGCTTCACAAAGGCATTAGTGTTTTTGAATGCTTGGCAAGAGAAGACCAAGAAAAAACCTTCATGGTGACGCTAACCTTGAATGGTTTATCGTGGGATTCTCATATTTTTCTACATCTTTCATTCATCTTGATTGCCAATAAAAGAGATGTTGGCTGATGAGCAGGATGAGCTAGTTTGTGTCAGTGGCAGCAAGCAGTATGAAGGAGGCCAGCAGCCAGGTACACACATGCCAACCCAGCTGACATCACTACACAGCATCCTTACAACCCACATGTATACCACAAGCCATATGTGATGTCTTAGCCAGGCCACACTAGTACTTGTATACAATATCCCTATGATCTGTACCTGTACTGTAGCTGTGTTGTACCAGTACTGTACCTTTGTTGTACAAGAACTGAACCTGTGCTGTATCAGTACTGTAACTGTGTTGTACCAGTATTGTACCTGTATTGTACCTGTATTGTGCCATTGTTATATTTGTCTTTTACCAGTACTGTACCTGTTGTACCAGTACTGTTCCTGTGTTGTACCAGTACTGTACCCATACTGTACCTGTATTGTGCCATTATTGTACCTGTGCTGTACCTAAACTGTACCTGTGTTGTTCCAGTACTAAACCTGTGTTGTACCAGTACTAAACCTGTGTTGTACCAGTACTGTACCTGTGTTGTACCTGTACTGTTCCTGTGTTGTACCAGTACTTCACCTGTGTTGTACCAGAACTGTACATGTGTTGGTTGAACCAGTACTGTATACTGTACCTGTGTTGTACCAGTACTGTACCTATGTTGTACCAGAACTGTACCAGTGTTGTAGTAATACTGTACCTGTGTTGTACCAGAACTGTACCTGTATTGTACCAATACTGTACCTGTGTTGTACCAGTACTGTACCTATGTTGTAACAGAACTGTACCTGTGTTGTAGTAATACTGTTCCTGTGTTGTACCAGTACTGTTCCTATGTTGTACCAGAACTGTACCTGTGTTGTAGTAATACTGTACCTGTGTTGTACCAGTACTGTGCCTGTGTTGTACCAGTACTGTACCTATGTTGTTCCAGAACTGTACCTGTGTTGTAGTAATACTGTACCTGTGTTGTACCAGTACTGTACCTATGTTGTTCCAGAACTGTACCAGTGTTGTAGTAATACTGAACCTGTGTTGTACAAGAACTGTACCTGTATTGTACCAATACTGTACCTGTGTTGTACCAGAACTGTACCTGTGTTGTAGTAATACTGTACCTGTGTTGTACTAATACTGTACCTGTGTTGTACCAAAACTTTACCTGTGTTGTACCAATACTGTACCTGTGTTGTACCAATACTGTACCTGTGTTGTACCAGTACTGTACCTATGTTGTACCTAAACTGTACCTGTGTTGTACCAGAACTGTACCTGTGTTGTACCAATACTGTACCTGTGTTGTACCAGTACTGTACCTATGTTGTACCTAAACTGTACCTGTGTTGTACCAGAACTGTACCTGTGTTGTACCAGAACTGTACCTGTGTTGTACCAATACTGTACCTTTGTTGTGCCAGTACTGTACCTATGTTGTACCAAAACTGTACCTGTGTTGTACCAATACTTTACCTGTGTTGTACCAATACTGTACCTGTGTTGTACCAGTACTGTACCTGTGTTGTACCAATACTGTACCTGTGTTGTACCAATACTGTACCTGTGTTGTACCAGAACTGTACCTGTGTTGTACCAAAACTGTACCTGTGTTGTACCTGTGTCGTACCAGTACTGTTCCTATGTTGTATCTGTACAATACCTGTACTGTACCTGTGTTGCACCAGTACTATATCTGTGTTGTACCTGTGTTGTACCAGTACTTCGCCTGTGTTGTACCAGTACTTCTCCTGTGTTGTACCAGTACTTCACCTGTGTTGTACCAGAACTGTACATGTGTTGGTTGAACCAGTACTGTATACTGTACCTGTGTTGTACCAGTACTGTATACTGTACCTGTGTTGTACCAGAACTGTAAGTGTGTTGTGTTGTACCAGTACTGTACCTGTGTAGTACCAGAACTGTACCTGTGTTGTACCAGTACTTTGCCTGTGTTGTACCAGAACTGTACCTGTGTTGTACCAGTACTGTTAGTGTGTTGTACCAGAACTGTAAGTGTGTTGTACCAGTACTTTACCAGTGTTGTACCAATATATATATATACTGAACAGGTTGGGTTATTTTGCTGTTATGACTTATGCTGATATGCTTTTGTAACTTTTTTTTTTTTTTTTTTTTAAATCGTTAGTGAAGGACAGCTTCATTTTTCAAAGATCTTTAATAACAATAAATGCATGTTTGGTAATCTGATACTGTCATACAAAAATGTTTGTTCCTCTGCTGTTGAACTTGATAATGCTAAGGATCTGTCCCAGGCAGAGCAAAACACTGAAGAATTCCACTGTCGTTTTTCCGTGTTAGAGTCACCTGCCCCTGATTACCATTTCGACAATGTTGTAATCTTCCCTTGAATAGATTTCGTTTGAATAACGTTTCGTCTACAGAGTTGTGTCCCTTGCATTGAAAATCTCCAATTGCAAAAGTGTGGGGAAAAAATCTGTCGTTACTATGTACACAACGTCCTGGTGGCAGTCATCTCATGGCCGACACGCAAGCCCGACGTAAAAACGGCAGCTTAAAATGTTAATAAAATGCATTAACTGACAACAATAACAACAACGATGTCCAATATCAACTGCTAGACCACAACTATGCGACAAAACAAAGTGACACTCGTTCACACATTGAAGAGACGCTGACTACTGAGGCCCCTACTACTGACAATTTTACTGACGTCCGATGAGGATCCTGCAGTACTAGTGATCACGAATACGCCAATAACTTTTTAACCTGGTCGCAGGGTAGACGAGTGGTTGAACTCGCGGTGTTATCTGAATACCTGGACCAGAAAGGTTGTAAGGAATGCGGTACTAGGCTACGGTTGAGCAATACCCGACAGGAAAGTCATTTTGGCCTGAGAAGTATTTTATACATACAAGTAAGTGTATCACACGACATCACAATAGTCAGGATTATATTTCATATTTGTAATTTATATGCCCATTTTTACAATGTGATATTTTTATACCACAATATTGTATGTTGTTATTTGTGCATGGGTAAAAGTTTATTATTATTATATAGTGTGATATTTGTTATACCACAATATATATAGTATGTTTTTATCTGTATATAATGACAAAGTTTATTATAGCTATATAGTGTGATCTTTTTTATATCACACTATGGTATGTTGTTATCTGTACATAATGTGAAAGTTTATTATTGTTTTGTTCAGAATGTAAAAGTTTATTATTGTTGTATAGTGTGATTTTTTTTATATCACAACATAATATGTTATTTGTACAGTATGTAGAAATTTATTATTGTTGTGTAAAAAATGTGGAACTTTGTTTTTGTTGTTCATTGTGACATTTTTGCTATGACACAGTAAAGTACATTGTTTGTTATAATGTTATCCATACACAAAGTACAATTTGTTTTATATTGGTTATTACATTTGAAATAATGTTATTGGTTGGTAATGCCTACTGTATTACATTCGTATATACAAAGTGCTATATTGTATGTTGTAAATTGTATATATGACTTTTTGGGATTTAGAATTATTATTGTTACAAATGTAAGAGTTGTCTCTCTTTTTTGTTAAGTTTTTTTGTATGTTTATATTTTTTTTGTAGAATAAGTAAGTCTGCAGGTATTTATTTTTTGACACCTATATTTTCTTTTCGTCGTCCTAAATGTGCTGCATTGGCACTCGGAATTTTATTGATTCATGTAATGGGCTTTTTTGTTTGTTTTAGTATTATTGTTAGAAAATTACTCATTTTTCGTGTTTTTTTCATCAATATTGACATTGTTATAATTTTTTATGTGTTATATTTCTAATAAACCATTGTTACATCAAATAATATATGTTTGTTTCATTTTGTTCAATTGAAAAAAAATGAAAAAAAAAAATGAAATTTCATAATTTCCCAAAAGATCTGAAGAAACTCCTGCAAGGTATGGGTTATTGTTCAGAAATAATTTGCTTACACAATAGCGATGCTGTAGAAGTATTGTTCAGAAATGATTTGCTTACACAATAGCGATGCTGTAGAAGTATTGTTCAGATATGATTTGCTTACAGAATAGCGATGCTGTAGAAGTATTGTTCAGATATGATTTGCTTACACAATAGCGATGCTGTAGAAGTATTGTTCAGATATGATTTGCTTACACAATAGCGATGCTGTAGAAGTATTGTTCAGATATGATTTGCTTACACAATAGCGATGCTGTAGAAGTATTGTTCAGATATGATTTGCTTACACAATAGCGATGCTGTAGAAGTATTGTTCAGATATGATTTGCTTACACAATAGCGATGCTGTAGAAGTATTGTTCAGATATGATTTGCTTACAGAATAGCGATGCTGTAGAAGTAATGTTCAGATATGATTTGCTTACAGAATAGCGATGCTGTAGAAGTATTGTTCAGATATGATTTGCTTACAGAATAGCGATGCTGTAGAAGTATTGTTCAGATATGATTTGCTTACAGAATAGCGATGCTGTAGAAGTAATGTTCAGATATGATTTGCTTACACAATAGCGATGCTGTAGAAGTATTGTTCAGATATGATTTGCTTACAGAATAGCGATGCTGTAGAAGTAATGTTCAGATATGATTTGCTTACAGAATAGCGATGCTGTAGAAGTATTGTTCAGATATGATTTGCTTACAGAATAGCGATGCTGTAGAAGTAATGTTCAGATATGATTTGCTTACACAATAGCGATGCTGTAGAAGTATTGTTCAGATATGATTTGCTTACAGAATAGCGATGCTGTAGAAGTAATGTTCAGATATGATTTGCTTACACAATAGCGATGCTGTAGAAGAAGAAAAAATGCCTCGTTACATTTTTCGGCGGAGGGATGGGGATCCTTAAATATCTATGAAACAGAACCCTATTTCTTTATACCTTTGTATGATAGCTATATTACATGGACATTGCAATGTTAGTGATCCATCATTTACCTTGGTGAGATGTCCCACAATAAAGTACAACAACTTTATGTGAATTACATGCTTTTATTGGTATAAAATAGGTCAGTGACCCGCCCTGACGGAGATTTATAGACCATGTCAATCAATAGTCCTGGGCAGAGATTTGTTCTCCAACAACTTG